GACTTGGTTCTATGGTAGGTCTTAAAGGGTTAACGCTACTGTGGTTTCGGAAAACAGGTGAAATGTTATTTCAGAGCTGGTCTGACTGGTGTAGTGAGGATTGTGTACACCCCTTTCCAGCAATAAATCTTGTGTACTGTATGCATGTGTGGAAGCAGGTGGCTTTACCTGCGGTACTACAAAGCATGTCCTTTCTGTACTGGGGTCAACCTCAAGCTACAACAATGGGCTGTGGGACCTTTTACAACCCGTCTGTGCGGTTTAGCAGCTTTGCACAGGTTATTTAAACTGTTATCACAAACAAAATGAGCTCTATGCTTATAATAGACTTTTCATATGGTATTGTTGTATATGTGTAATCGGGGATACACACAACATAGTTTAGGTAAAAAAGGCAAGCTGATTGACAGATTTGAATCACTCAATACCTTCTTCTTTGTTTATTTATTTCTTTTTAACTCACCTGTGAAGTCCTCCAGGCACTCGCAGGTATATCCGCCCTCTCTGCTCCGACACCTCCCGTTGTTCTTGCAGGGCCCTGAGTAGCAGAGGTCGATCTCGGTCTCACAGTATTCTCCGGTGAAACCGACCGGGCAGCGGCAGCGCAGCCCGTTGATGGGGTGGATAGGTCGAAACAGAACCGTGTCAGAGGTGATGAAGGGAGGGGAGCTGTCAAACTTCAGCACTGATACACACTTCATATAGTTCTCGCAGGGCTCCCGTAGGCAGATGTTATCATCAAACGGCAACACCTGAATGGAAGAAGGAATTTTAGCTACATTTATTTCTTCTACTAATGCTTCTGATGTTTTTGACCTCAGGACTGTGCGTTACCTCTTGAGTGGATATGAGCCTGAGTCGAGTCCTGTGGAGGTAGATCTGCTCCTGCAGCTCCTCAGATGGGAAGAACATGCCTTTACCAGGAGCCCCTCCGGGCTGCAGCGCCGAAAAGGTTACGTTGAGGATGGAGCCTTGGACGTCGGTGTCGTTTTGGATGTTGAACACAAACACTGCTTCCCGCTTGGTGGAGAGTACATCCGCCACTCCCTCAAGAAAGAGGCTGAGCAGGGGAGATAGAAAACGCTCCTGGGACATGTTCTCCAGACGAACCGTGATGCTGTTTGTCAGCATGTCATCAGTGATGATAGTGACCCGCAGTGTGCAGAGGGCAACAACACGATGGAGACCATCTGGAAAAAAAGAGAAGGCAGATATTTTGCCTTTACTTACGGAAAGCTCCAGATTACAGTAAAAGTCTAACAAGGTAAAAAGTTCAGAGAAAACAATGTACCTTTTTAGAATAAAGAGCCCTCAGATATAACAAGCAATGAAGTGAACTCATACAAAGGTTAATGACAAGCAAATTTACAGACAACTGCAAAAGGAACCCAACCACAGTTTACATGGTTAAACTTAAGGCTCACACTGATCTTGGCTCACAAACATGAGACACAATACCAAAACTTACTATCAATAAAAAAGAAGGTCAGAATAAAAAGTTGTAAGCCAAAACATTCAATTCAATACATTTTTTAATATAGTTCCAAATCTCAACATAAGTCACCACAAAGTGCTTTATATTATAAGGTAAGGACCCGAAAATTACCAAGAGAAAACCTCAAAAATTAGACGGCACACTAGGAGCAAGCACTTGGCTACATTAGAAAAGAAAAACTCCTTTACATGTCATTGTATGTAGATTTTAACACAGAAATAATTTCACCTCCTGAATAACTTCACATCTCTTCTCTCATTTCTCTCCTGTCTCTTCACCCTTCATGTCAAGAAAAGTCAGGAGGAATCACATCTGTTATCTCTGCCAATTCCAGTCTGTGTTTATCTCAGACTATCTTCTGGAACTCCACAAACTCATCTAACAACTTGTATTTGAAAATAAAAAATACCAAGAGATTCTTTGAAAATGTATTTATTTAATTTTAAAAACTGAATTACTCTGATTTTGGACAGCGGAGGACAAAATCGGGTATTTATTTTCTTTATTTATCTTCTTTATTTATTACTTCCAATAGTGCTAACATACTACACAGGTCATGAACAAATTTGTTTTTTAATTTTCATTGTAAGTGGGCTAAAGCAGTTAATTAAAAGTAGTCTAACATAAATGTAAATGCTGTGATTTGATTATTTTAACGAACCATGTAACTTGAATGGATTCAACGCTGGCGTGACCACAGTGCACACGTCTGCTGTTGCTCACAGTGGTCCAAGGGACCGCTCAGGGAGTTTGTGCGTTCGCTCAGACACATGAAAAATTAGAG